TTTACCTTTAATTATCAATAGAACCCAATTTTTAATATGTCATTTATCGATCAGGTTCTTCGATGAGCTTTCGATTCAGTATTGACCACAGACCTGATAGCAGTTTATTCAGAGCTAACTAAACCGAATCCTTAAGTTTCGCTACTTTTACCATTAATTTCTACCAAAAATATGTTAGATCTCAATTGTAAAGTGTCTACTCGATTCATTGATCATCGCACGTAACGATATTGTGCCTCCACAACGGTCGCGAAGTGTGTATTGCATTTGAACCAGTCATGGAGGAGCCACCAATGACATGTTACTTTCAAAAAAGAAAGTAAGCCATAATATCGGGGAGGGGGAGGTATCCCCGATTATAATCTAAAACGTGCTTTATGTTATACGAGATACACCATAATACATTTACTCTCTGTTTGTGTAGACTTTTCCCTAACGTAGGGGATCGGGATTCCTTACACTGCTGTGCTAAGAAAAAACGCCGTATGAACCTTCAGACGTTGCCGAATTTCCTCCAATAAAAATCGAAATTACTGAGAAAATCGTGAACATTTGTTTCAAAAATTTTCACACAATGTTTTACGCAATTCGATCTAAAATGAATGAAAGTTTCAAGGAAAAATATGCATAAATTTGGTCTAGAATTCATATTTTATCGAAGGAATTTGGCAACTCTCGAATGTTCATACGGCGTTCATGCCTTAGCACGGCAGTAAATTACGTCCTTAACTTTGAAAGCTTATATTGAGCTTGAGTTTATTCCAGAGAATACCCATGTTACCGTGTTCAAATCCATGTAGGACAAAATACTTACATTGTACATCTCTGTGGCGTGGAAAAGCTGTACTGGTTGGTACAAAAAAACCAATTTTACTATTGCATATTTAGAGAGTAAACTCGCAACTTTTTTTTTTCACTCTCCCGTTTACCGATATCTATTTTTCTTCGTGGTGGAATAAATGAGGAATTGTTAACCACTAACTACCAACCACATGCAGAAAGAAGTATTCATCAAATGAACGCGGTTTGGTTGAGTATGAAGCGATACCCTCTGGAAGGATGATTTGCAACGTAGAGAGTTGACTGAGTCTCTTTCGTTCTTCGATAACCCTGCATAGACGAGAGGTCCCGCAAAACGGGTAATGTATGCAGAGCTCGGTGAATCCTCAATGAAATGCACCCACTTACGAACTCATATTCCCAAGGAAACGTGAGAGGCTCGATCTGCGCTTGCGAAACACCCGGCAAAATGGGAATAAAAACCGAGTTCCAATCGACAGACATGAAAAAAGGCGAAATCGTCCCGATGCAGTCGATATTCTGTCATTATCTTCCAGTGTTGGCACTCCCATGGCTAAATAATACATTAAAAAAAATATTGGAAAATTGTTGGGTTAGAGACAAAATTGAAATAAATACAAATGCAGTATATGTACGTACTTATTCTACCATATGAATCTCAAGAAAATAATATTTTCCTAGGAAAAATTTAAAAATAAAATCCAAAAATGTTTGAGTAATGCATTTAGTATTGGAGGAATAATGAAAAGCCGTTCATGTAAAAAATTGTAAATTATGAGAAGGGCTAAATTTTTCTTGATTTAACTTTTGTTAAATACAAAAGGACTTTTTAGGTATTACCTATTGGAAACTTGAGGTCTCATCACAAGGTGGCAACCTACTCCTGTATCCAGTTCGATGCAGTTCGACTTGACTAATGGGGCGGTTGTGCGTGTCGAAAAATCATATAATGATAAATACAGCTCATAGATTATTGCGACTAAAATGGTAAAATCTGTCCATATGCGGGGCTTCTGTTTTCAATATTTACAGTGATAATGACCTTCAAAACATTTACTTGATATCATTTCACCGCGGGAGTACATCCTATAATTTTTCCCACCTTGGATTTCTCAATGATGTACATAATTTTGCTACACATTACTCATAAAACGGAGGTGAAAAAACGCTGGGTGAACCACGGTAATTGACTATGTCGGACACAGTTTTAATTTTTTCGAAATGCCTTATCCGCAGAACAATGGACATTAAAAATACAAATGTAAAGGATCTCATCAGCGAAATGAGTCGATTTACAATTGACAGAGTGACAAAGGTGCGTGGTTTTTTTTGTTTTATATTTAAAAAAAAAAAAAAATAATCGCTCCCGAAGACAGCAAGTTTGTGTCCATAAGTTCATACAATCCATACGTACATAAAAAACATTATTGAGCCCATCAGATCGTCACCTCCCGGCCAAATTATCACAAGCGCCATGCGACGTTTCAAGATTTCCGCCGCCATTTTATTTTTTTACAGGGATATTGTTGGTTGAATCTGCTAGAAAAATTCACTGAATTTTATCGGCAGCACAAAGAAAATTCAGTGAAATTTTCGGACAGCTTCGTTGAACAATATCTCTGTGTTAGAGAACACCTAGAAAAGTGGGATAGGAAAGAGAAGAAGAAAAGAAGTCATCCCGAGGATAGTCTCGCAGGCAGCCACCTTAAAGGCAGGGCAACAAGAATAACTTAGGAAGAGAAAGAAGAAGAAATGTAGAGTGAAAAAGAGTTGTTGATTGACGGAGAAGTTGAAAGAATGTGAAGAAGAGGGAGAGAGAAAGAGAGAAAGGGGAGGGGGCGTCAGATTGAGAATCGCCCTTGAAGGAAGAGTTCGTGGCGCCGTAAAGCTTAGCGCCGAAGCAGAGTGCCGAAAAACGTGGCAACCCTGTTGAGGAAGTCTCAGCGCCGTAAGAACGTAGCGCCGAAGAAGAGAAGCAGAGTACCGAAAGACGTGGCAACCCTGTTGAAGAGGTCTTAGCGCCGTATGAGACGTAGCGTCGAAGAAGAAAGCAGAGTACCGAAATACGTGGCAACCCTGTTGAAGAAGTCTTAGCGCCGTAAGAACGTAGCGCCGGAGAAGGGTACCGAAAGTCGTGGCAACCCTTGTTGAAGAGAAGCTTGGCGCCGTAAGAACGTAGCGCCGAATGAAGGAAAGGAGGAGGAGCGCCGAAATGCTTAGCAGCTCCGAATACTTACACGTACTTACTAGTAATTGTAGGAAGAACTTGGGACAATGAACTAGTGATGGCGATTCTTGGATCGATCTTTCAAAAGATCGATTCTCTGAGACCAAAATATCGATAAGATCGAATCGATTCTTTCCCGCCGATCTTTCGCGTGGATCGATTCTTTCAACCTAGAATCGGATCGAAAGAATCGGTTTCTATCATTTCTAACTTTTGGTTTCTTTTCTCCTAGAACCTATCAACTTGATTGAAAATGAGGACAAACATTTTTTCTGAGAGCTTATCGCACATAATCCTGCTCAATTTCCTTCCTATGAGTCCCGATCTTCTCCGATTCTTTTCAGCTCTTTTTGATTATACACAAAAGATCGGATCGAATCGGATCGGAACGGTTCGGGAACGATCTTATGTCACGTGACGATTCGTGTAGATCGGATCGGAAAAGATCGGATCGGGAAGATCGGATCGGGAAGATCGGATCGTCACATCACGATTCCATCGGAGAAAATGAAAATACTAGATAGGATCGATTTCAATCAAAAATCTCCACACACTGATTACTATTCTGTGATCAACTATTATCAGACAAATGATTTATATTCATCCATTATACGTTTACAAATCCACTCCACGATGTACTAAAAGATCGTCACGTGACGATCTTGAATCGATTCAGAATCGTCACATGACAAATTTAAACATATGTTGTTGGCTCATTTTAAAAGTTCAGATCGGCGGGAAAGATCGGATCGTTGGATCGATCTTTTGAAAGATCAATTCTTTTGACCCGACCTTGGAATCGGATCGATTCTCCCTAGCCGATCCAGATCGATCCAGGAGAATCGATTCTCAGTCGAAGAATCGCCATCACTACAATGAACTCAGGAAGTTTGTAGAAGAGACTTGATGCAGTGAAATCGAGGGTAATGATTGAAAGAAGTGGGCAGAGCCCAGGTGAAACGGGTGCGGGCCCCATTGACGGGATGGCCGCGCACGGAGCGCTGCCAAAAGGCTCCATTTGAGCCTTTCAGCTGGAAATCCCGGTAAGACGGGTTAGACGTCCATGGGTCAAGTGCCCATCACGCCAAAAGGCAAAAGGTCGTAGTTTGTGCCCTTTAATTTGCCCTAAAAGGGACCGCAACGGCAGAACAGCGCCGAGCGCGCCCTGGTGGCGAATATAGCAAGCGCGGTCGCAAGTGTGCTCGCCGCGCAGTCGCCCGGGTTGCAAGGAGGTGGACAAGCTGATCCTTAACACTCTGTTAAAAAGTAAAATGGCGGCGGAAATTTTGAAACGTCGCGTGGCGCTTGTGATGCTTCGCTCGGAAGGTGACGAAATGCATTTTGAACCCTTTTGACCCTTCCTTTCCTGAGCGTCGTCAACGAAGAAATTGTTTGACAAAGCTGTCCGAAAATTTCACTGAATTTTCTATGTGGTGCCGATAAAATTCAGTTAAATTTTCACTCAGAGTCAACCAACAATTTCTCTGAAAAAAAATAAAATAGCGGCGGAAATTTTGAAACGTCGCTTGGCGCCTGTGATACTCCGGCCGGAAGGTGACAAAGTGTGTTTTGAACCCTTTTGACCCTTCCTTTCCTGAGCGTCGTCAACGAAGAAATTGTTCGACAAAGCTGTCCGAAAATTTCCCTGAATTTTCTTTGTGTTGCCAATAAAGTCCAGTTAAATTTTCAAGCAGATTCAACCAACAATTTCTCTGCAAAACAATAAAATGGCGGCGGAAATTTTGAAACGTCGCGTGGCGCTTGTGATACTTCGGCCGGAAAGTGACAAAATGCATTTTGAACCCTTTTGACCCTCCCTTTAGAGCGTCGTCAACAGAGGGTGTTGCGCCCCCTCTCCTCGGTTCTGGACCAGTCGCCCTCGGCCCCCCAGAGCGGGAAGGGGGGAGGGGGGTCGGGGACCCGCGGCGGCGCAGAAGCTGGACGGCGAACGGTTAGTGCTTTCCAACCGCGAGGTGTCTCAGGTCTTGCCGCGTGGATCCGATTCCGATTTGGCTCCGTGTCCCGCGCGTCACCGTCGACCGGTGGAAAAGAGCGATCTCGAGTGGTGGTGAGTGCGATGCGCATTGCGGATACGGTTTGTGCCCTTTGACCTCCGTCACGTCGGCTCGGAATATGGCTGTGCCAGGGTGAGTGGCGTCCTCGCAAAATTCACAAATTTGATGGACCTCTCTTAGGGGTAAACAATGATAACAATTGAATCAGTGAGATCGAGAACACACCAACTCGATTGCTTGAAAATGCTCAATTTGTCACCTTCCGGCCAAAGTATCACAAGCGCCATGTGACGTTTCAAAATTTGCGCCGCGATTTTATTTTTTTGCAGGAAAATTGTTGGTTGAATCTATTTAAAAATTTCACTGAATTTTATCGGCAGTGCAAAGAAAATTCAGTGAAATTTTCGAACAGCTTCGTTGGACAATTTCTCTGTAAAAAAATAAAATGACGGTGGAAATTTTAAAACGTCGCATGATGGCTGGCGCTTGTGATACTTCGATCGGAAGGTGACGAATTGTCATTGAAGATGGGCAATTTTTATGAAAGTCATTGAAGTTAGCATATCTGCTCTTACTTGGACTTATAAAGTGTCCTTAAGTACATGTTTTTCGACACTAAACATCTTTTCCTCAGATTAACTTCTCCACCTCCAGTGCAATTTTGTGTGTGTCTTTATTATCACTTTAATTTTTTCGAGTTGGTGTGTTTTTGTTCTCGCCGATTCATTGAGGGGCTTTGAGGACAAGGCGCAGAAGTGCAGTTTTCGAAAAAATTGAGATATTAATGATATCAAGTAAAATTAGTCTTAACGCACTTTATGTGAAAAAATCGATTCCAAATTATAAGCATCAAAAAGTCACTTTGAACTTTCTTTCCGCCATGAGGATCTATGTAATTTCGAAACTTCAAACACGTTCTTCTCAAAACAGCAAAAACTGCACTTATGCGCCTTGTCCTCCAAGCTCCATAATTACACAGCGAGGAACAAGGCTAATTTTCTCATAAATACCACCAAAACGTTTCGGCTGAAAATTTAGCCTTCCTCAGTTCAATAAAAACAGTAAGATGTTGTAAAAATCTAAACTAAAATTCCAAGCTCTACATTTTTTTAAAATCTAAAATTGTAAAAACCTGTTTTGTGTTGACTGTGTTATCAAAATTTCTTTCATAACAACATTTTTCTCGCTTTGAAAGGTACAGCCAAGTACTACGTCATTAGATTTTTACAATTTTTTACTGGTTATATCCAACTGAGGAAGGCTGAGTTTTCAGCAAGAAAGCTTTGGTGGTATTTATGTGAAATTTAGCCTTGTTACCTGCTGTGTAACTTTTTATTATTGTATATCTTGTCACAGACTGCGGAACATCAAACATGGGTATCTCAAGTTAGGGGTAAGATTGAATCAACGAAAGACGCCGTTTCCGTTGAAAGTTCGTTCAAAACACCTATAATAGCACAATGGCGCTTTAAAAATGTTTTTAAAATATCTCTGAAACCAAAAAAATGTTTCGAAGGCGTATCCTTAAAACAAGTAATACACTAAATCGTCTCAAACAATTCTGTATAACGTATCAGAAGATGAGGTATTATGGCATCAACGCGTTTCTAAAATGTTTTGGTCATTCTTTGATAATTATTTTAAAAATATTTGTACCTCGTTGAAAGTGATTAAAATGCATCGAAAGTTTTAAAAATTTTAAAACATTCTGAAATGTTCTTCAGAATTATTACATTTTATTTTCATATTTCATCCAGTTGTTAAAAATGGGTTTTTAGAAAACATTTTTGAAATAATTTTTTTTTGTCCTTTACACTATGATTAGAAGACAATTTTTATCAAGAAAAAAAATAATAGATAGAGATATCCAAAACTAGGATTGTCCAAATTCTTTTCAAAAATTTCGCAAAAATATGTTTTAATTCTTTCTTAAAAACTTGTTCCTTACGGATTAAAATTCATTATTTTTAAATCAAAATTTTTTCCGGTGCGTGCTACTGGGATGTTGAAATTGTTCGAAATCAACGTATGAGTAAGATTTTAACGCTTCTGAATACCTTTCAATAAGGAAAATCAAACTTCTCGCTATTAAAAATAAAAATAAATTAAAAATTAAACTTTGCACAAATAAAACGAATGTATTGTATAGTGAATAGATAAAGTTGAGCTCCGTTTAAATTTTCTTTTTCTCTACGGTACCGTACTTCCAAAATCGTCAAAATTATTTTAAATAGTAAATAAATAATAATAATACAAATAAATTACTCAAAAAATCAGCACCTTAACACAATTTATTCCTCTATACACACTGAATTTAATCTCATTTCCAACTTAACTCCCAAAAGTACTTTTATATCGTTGGAAGCTTTCAATGTATGAGATACTGAAATCTGAGTTGTCATTTTTCTTGAGTGTCAGGAGTCCAGGGGATGGTAGGTTCACCCCTTAGAACATCGGTATGAAATTAATTGATCCTATTTCATTGCGCTACACAATTAGAGCGATATTCTAGCACTCCTAAAATAATATTTCTCGGAATTTCTGCAAACTCTAGCTATTTCCTTCATTTCTTATGACCAGGGGGTAGATCGCCTCTTAGCAGATCGGTAGAAAATTATTTGTTCATATTTAATGGCAATTAAAAATTAGTAAAATATTCTAGCTCCTTCAGAACATTGTCTCTCTCATTTTCCGTCCTGTATGCCTGACATCGCTCTTGCATTTTGGTCACGGGGTGGCTCATCCCTTAGGTCACCGGCAGAAAATTAATAGTTAATATTTCATGGTAGTACAAAATCATTACAAAATTCTATAGTACCGTCAGGATATTTTTCTCCCCATTTTGGACTTTCGTGCCTATTTTTGCCCATCTCATATACCCCGTGGGTGGTTGAGGGTCACCCTTCTCGACACCGGTACAAAATTCCTTGTTCTAATTCATGGCGATACAAAATGAGTGCAAAATTCTAGCAAATTCAGAATCTTGTTCCTCCTGTTTTCTGTCTACTATGCCTATTAATCTCATTTTTTAAGTCCTGGGATTGGTTAACCCTTAGAATTTCGGAATAAAATTCGATGTTATATATTCGATAGAATATCATACCATGTTTGGACTATAAGTTTTCTTTGTTTGGGTAAAGTTGCCTTTTACCACTCCCTTTTCGGAGGATATGGTCATGGTTTTGGATCGTCGGTGTGATATTCGAATCATGTAGCTTTTCACGGGACGGATTTGGTGTGAAAGTATCATAAGAGACAACAGAAACGGAAGTATATTTTTGGAAGGTCCGTGGTCCTCCTTCCTATCCCAACCCTCCTTCATTCCCTCGCCCATTCACTTTTGAATAAAAAGATCCCGGACTGGAAAGGAAGAGAGAGTTTATATCGATCTTTTCACGGATTAGGTCCGAGGAGTCGATATTTAATTGTAATCGATATAATCAAAATGGGACCATACGCTATGTTATGTTAGTATTTCGGCGAAGTGTCATGTAACGAGCTTCACAGCGCCTCGATGCAACTATTACTGCTCTTTGGGTGCTCATGTTGCATTGGAAAAAATTGAAGGAGCTTTGTATTTTTTACCCTTTTAACACATGCATATGCATGTGACGCGTCATTATGAGCCCCTGGCTCAAGGTTCACTTGCAATTATGCTTTCATTGATTAGATACACGTTAATTTATATCTCATTTAATCTATTTTTATATGACGTGAAGAGAGCTTCAAGAAAAAAAGGCCTGCAGGTCTTATGAAGAATGAGAAGTGGAACGATTTTCGAAAGTTCGGTAAAAAAATCGGATTTTCACGAAGAAGTCTCCGTTCTAGAAGAAGTCTAAAGTTCTGAAGAATATTATTACTCAGGGGCTTCAAGGATAGTACCGACGAAAAAAGTTGAAAAATGAGACATGAACTGAATGAGAGAAGGTGGTGAAAAAGTGCTGGGTAAATCATATTTTGCGGAGTAAGCAAGGATGCGCAGTATTTTGGAGGGGATATTAGAACCCAAAATGTTTAACTCCAATTGAAATTTTTGAAGTTTCTAGCCTTGCTTTACCCCGCAAAATAGTTTGGACCCAGCACTATTTTACCGCCTTGAAAATACCTTAGGGTGGCCGCATACCTGCAGGGTACGGTTACAATCAGTTTTGATCGGAATCCGTGATTTTTTTTTTTTCCTCAAATTCAGACATTCACAAAAATTTCAAGGATTAATCTCTTCTTTTTTTAAAAAAAGAAAAAATAATAAATAATTGGAGGATAAACGATTGCAATAGAGATGCACATTTTTGGCATTAAGGTTGATACTTAGTATTTATTGTGGTCTCCTATGTTTTCAATAAATTTAAAAAAAAAAAAAAAAAAAAAAAAAAAAAAAAAAAAAAAAAAATTGGTCGTTACTTTTGACAAAGGAAAACAATCCTAGCTCATAGCCCAGATTTCGGTTGTATTCAGGCAGGGCTGTTGGGATCGTATATTGGGCACTAGGCCGTGAGTTATGTCAAGTCACGCGGTAGGACAGGTGGTGGTGGGTGGGTGGGTGCGCTCGTAGCGGTTCCCGTCCATTTCGCCAATCCTCACACTGAGAGATGCTGCGGCCGGGCCCGGGTCCCGCGCGCCGCGTGGAATTCGCGCGTGGGCACTGCGCCGCACAGTAGATCGAGTTAATTAGAGACGTCGAACATGAAACTTCTGACAAAAACTGGGACTATTAATGTTTATCTCGTCACATTTTAAAGTTCAAGGGGTGCTACTAAAAGCAAATTTTACGAGTAAACCGATGAAACCACTTTAAGAACCTCAAAATTGTGTATAAGCGGAGTTATAGTCGTTTAAAGTTTCCAAATTTTGTCCGACTTCTCCTATTGACTTGATCCCATGTGCGCCGAGCCGCACCGCAGACGCCTCCTAACCTATTGTTACACTCGCGCCGCACCGCTCAGCAAGAACCACCTAAAAGCGCTGTGAACTTTGTAGAGATACGCTGTTCTTGGTTCGAGACCTAGTTACCGCTGTCAGAGCGAGCCTCCGGATCCCGCGGGAGATCATGCTCTCTGAGAGTGAACTGCGAGAGCACTTGCATCTCAAACGATACTCGTTAGAGCACTTCTGTCGTTTCCCACACGAAATGG